GAACTACTCAACACCTTCTTTGCCTCAGTCTTCTCACAAAAGGACAAGGGTGTTCAACCTGAGAAAAATGGAGCAGAGGACGCAATAGGGGAAATGCAGCATGGAATAAGTAAAGAAGAAGTACAGGAATACCTGGTTAACCTAAATGAATTTAAGTCTCCAGGACCACATGAACTATATCCAAGGATATTAAAAGAACTGGCAAATGTAATCTCAGAGCTACTGGCAATAATCTTTGAGATCTCCTGGAGAACAGGAGAAGTCCCAGCAGACTGGAGGAGGGCAAACATTGTCCTCATCTTCAAAAAGGGGAAAAAGAGGATCCCAACAATTATTGCCCAGTTAGTCTGACATCAATACCGAGAAAGATTCTAGAACAGTTCATTAAACAGAGAGTCTGTGAATATTTAGAAGGGAATTCCATAATCACTAAAAGTCAACATGGGTTTCTCAAAAACACATCATGCCAGACTAATCTTATCTCTTTTTTTCATAAAATTACCAGCTTGGTAGATGAAGGGAATGTGATAGATATAGCATATCTTGATTTCAGTAAGGCTTTTGACAAAGTCCCCCATGATATTCTTACAAACAAGATAGTAAAATGTGGGCTAGACAATACAACTGTTAGGTGGATAGTAACTGGTTGACTAACCAAAACCAAAGGGTGCTCAGCAATGGCTCCTCTTCATCCTGGAGAGAAGTGACCAGTCGGGTACCAAAGGGTTCTGTCCTGGGCCCAGTGCTATTCAAATTCTTGATCAATGACTTGGATGAAAGAATAGGGGGCATGCTTCTCAAATTTGCAGATGACACCAAATTAGGAGGAATAGCTAATACCCTAGAGGACAGGATGAAAATTCAAAATGACCTTAATAGATTAGAAAGCTGGGCTAAAGCTAACAAAATGAATTTCAACACAGAGAACTGTAAGATACTGCACTTAGGGCAAAAAAATGAAATGTATACATATAAGATGGGGGATACCTGGCTTAACGAGACTAATAAGCTTATAGCACTGTGTTCTGATAACATAATGAGTATGTGATGAGAATGGAATGGAACGTATTTTATCACACAGTATGACCCTCGTCAAGTTCCCATTCTGTGCTCTGATAGTCCCTAGACCGTTCCAGCAGGAGAACTGTAAAAATGCATCCTCAGCCAGCAAGAATGTTTTCAGACTGTTCCAGATGATGTGTGTGTGATAATCCTATGCGGTCTCAATCTGTCCT